GGTCAGTCTGGATCTTGAAGTTGAGGTAAAATAGTGCACACCTCCTTGCTTCTCTTTTTGGAGTCATTTCCTGCTGTGGGTTTTGGCAAAACTTTGCTGCTGTCTCTACTTGAAATTTAAGTATTTGTTAGAGGAGATTACAGTAAACAATACATTTGTCCAAAGTAAAAAAGGATAATTGTCAGAATTAAAAAAATCCCTGCATTATTTATGACAAAATTGGTTTCTCTTTCTGGTCCTCAGCATTTCTTTTCCCTGCAGGGGTGTCAAACTGCCAGCCCACGGGCTGGATGTGTCATGCCAAAACTGCGCCCACCCCATTGCCAGCAATGGGGAAAAAGTCGCAATACATCACGACACGTCACATGACGTCGCGAGTTTGACACCCATGCCTTAGGTAATTGTTGGAGCTGCTGGGAAGCCACTGTATTCTTGAGAACACCTTGAGATCTTCTGTGATTCCATTTATATGCTTTCATTCAAGCAGTGGAGTGTTACTATGGTGGAGATGAAAAATACTAGTTGTATTTTGTTAAATCACCTCAAACATAGTGACTAGTGGAGATGCCATGAATTTAATCTAATCAAGCATAAAAGTTGATGAGGAGCTGAAAGAGTCAGAAATGTGTGTTTCTTTGTGTATTTCTTTATGTGTGTACCTATGAATTGTAGTCGTTAACTCACTGAGAAGAGCTGGTCATAGATAGAATTTTTTTTCATGAATATTCCATGATTATCACACAAGTAATATTTTTTTTCCAGAGATGATATTAAAAAAAATCTAAGCCACTGAATTCTGACATCATATCAAAATTCTGTTTTTTTTAAATAAATGATTACATGTAATTGAAAAAAATATTAATTCATTGTCAAAATGGTATATATTAAACAATTATACATGTTTACATGTAGAAGATAGTTTTGGTTTTATTAAGTGTGACTATATTTGAGAAATAATTCTTTGTTGAAGCCTGTTGGAGGAATGGGTTGATTCTTATTGATTTTATAGAACTGTATTCATTACAAAAATGAGTCTATGTGTCATTATCATGCTAAGATATTTTATTTTTTTATTTTATTATTCTATTCTATTCTATTCTATTCTATTCTATTCTATTCTATTCTATTCCATTCCATTCCATTCCATTCTATTCTCATTTGGTTTCCATTTTAATTTCTCTTGACTTGCACAATACTAATTTCCATTTGCAAACAAAGCACTCCCAAAATCACTTGTACTGATTTATTTGCAGTCTAATCTCTGATATGTGGCGCTATAACTGGATATATTAGAAATGCATTTTAATCCATAGCTGTGGTCTCAAACTAACCTACAAAGAAATTCTTTAGAAATGATTAAATATGCAGGAAAAAATGATGCAAAGTATTTTATGCTCATAAACTGGTTCCTAATTATCTTTGTTGATCTTTTAAAAATGGTTTTTTAAAAAAAACCTCTTATCAGCCATAGTTTTCTTAGTATGTCATGTCATCATGGGTATTTATATATCATACTGAGAAAGAGGTGGGCCAACATATTTGAGCGCTTTCTCCTCATACAAACAGTAACACGTAATAGCATTCTACAGGTAGTTCTCATTCAGTGACCACTTGAAATTATTATTATGGTGAATAAGAAGACTTACAACCATTCCCTGTAGTTGCAGTTGTTGCAGCATTCATGTGATCATGAATCAGTCACTTGGCAAATGGCTTGCAATTATGAGAATCACAGTATCCTGTGGTCACATTATCATCATTTACAATCTTCACTGTTGGTTTCCAACAAGCAAAGTCAATAGGAAAGCCAGCACGAAGTTGCAAACAGTGATCATGGGATGTTGTGCTTAACAGCCACACAGGATTTTCCTGACAAGAGCAACTGGAACTACCATTGTAAGTTCCTGGTCAGCCTGGTCATGTGATGTTGGTCTGATAGTTATCTGAAGACTGCCTATGTAAGAATTGGATGTCCATCATAGAACAATGGACAAAAATACTACTATTCCAGCAAACGTATTCTCTGCATGAAACCAATTTCTTTCCTAACTAGAAACATTCAAAAGTGCTTGTTCTTGAAGCAGTTCCACAACAGTTGTTGTGATGAATCCACTGGGTGGTCAAGCTTTTAGTTTGAGAAACAGTAGCAAGATTAACAGAATAAGTGGATCTAAAAGCCTGTGAAAAGTGAATATGTGATAGTAAAGAGTAAAAGTTTCATAGAGCAGAAGTACTAGGATGTCACATAGCAACCTTACTTTAAAAAGCTGTATATAGAAGTCTGTTTTATATATTCTAGATCTGTGTGCGTCAAATGAATACACTCAATGGGATTTGGAAATCAATATAGCTTCCTCCAGAGTATAGCCTTAATGCAGACTTTGTGATAGTACAGTAACACTTGAGAAGAAAAGCATAATTTCCTGAATAATTTCTATTCCTATTGTTTTGTCATTTTTCAAGTGTGACCTACAGCATTGGGTTTAAAAATAAAGGCATAAAATGTTGCCAGATTCCATTGATGGAAGGTTCCAGCTACCATTTGCAATAAGTAGAGATGGAAATTCAGTAATTTGGTGTATGAATGCCTGTTTCCTGTTTTTTTCTGTATTCATCATCTACCATAGTTACCACTTCATTCATGTGGAATTATTTATATAAGTGTTTTTAGGTGACTTTAATGGCTGCTGCTGAAGACCACAGTTGTTGTCTAGGATGGTGAATTCTATTTAAGTGCATTCTGCTTGTCAAACTTTGCTTGCTTAAAATAGCAAACACACATTTTGCTGGTTTTTTAAAATTACTATTTTCTTCTGATGAATAGGTTTCCACCTGAGTGGTACTGTGACTGAACCTGCCATGCAGTCCGAGCCAGAAACTGTTTGCAATGTGGCTATCAGCTTTGATCGTTGCAAGATTACCTCAGTGACCTGTAGCTGTGGAAACAAAGACATATTTTACTGTGCCCATGTTGTGGCCCTTTCTTTATACCGGATCCGCAAGCCAGATCAGGTCAAACTGCATCTTCCCATTTCAGAGACTCTTTTTCAAATGAACAGAGACCAACTGCAAAAATTTGTACAGTATTTGATTACAGTGCACCATACTGAAGTTTTGCCAACTGCTCAGAAGCTCGCAGATGAAATCCTTTCTCAGAATTCAGAGATCAATCAAGTTCATGGTGAGTTAGTTTTTTTCTCCAGTGCTTGCTCCAGAATTCTTTTTTTCTTCTAGGAAAGTACTTCAGTTTAATCCTATTGATACTGTATTTCCGTAAGCTTTTTGGACTTCCTTTCATGTTCTCTTTCCAAATATGTTTAGAACAAATGACACTTTTAGCCTGTTAGTTTAATTAGGCAATGTGCAGAAAGCCAACTGAAAACTGGGAAAGGCTGCCTGTTCTTGCAGAAAAGATTGTAGTTCCATTCATGTATTATAGTGTATGAACCACATTGAGCAGTGCGGTCCCTCTAAATATTATGCTGTGATGTTAAATAAAAGAGAGATATGAAATGAAATGGTCTGTTGAGGCCTTCAGAAATAGGTTATAGGCTTAGATTTGCATTATCAGAATTAGCATGTACAGATTGGATAAAGCTATCAGAAATAATTTGTATAAGGGTTGGTTTCTAATGTTGTTCCAATGTGAGACATGCAAAAGGAGCAAGACTTTAATTGTGAAACGATGGTTGTTAGACTTAGTTTTGACCATCCATTGTGGATGTCCCTGGATATGACATGTTTCCATGGAGAACAACTGTGGTTGAGCCAGATTGAGAAAAGATGTAAATGATTATGATCTCATCTAACAAGAGAACCCCTAACAACTGTTAGGAAAAGGTAATACCTATCATTAATAACTTGTAGGAAGAACAACATAATTATTTTCTACTTACTTAGATGGTTGTTGTTTAAAGAAGCATCAGTTTCATTTATTTTGGGTGTTTTAATTCAGTGCCCAACCAAGTAACTCTCCCAATAGATGATCAACATACTTCTGATTGAAATATGACAGAAAACTACTTGAATGACAGGAATTGACTTCCCTGAAATCACTTAGGAAGGTGACATGAGAAATGGGCTATATATAATCAAGAATGCATAATTGAAAGTAGGAGAGTAATATACCCCCCCCAAAAGGGGAAATACGTTATGTGGTATAATCATTCCTTCCAAGGGAATTTGGAGAGGCAGCTTTGTTGAAAGAGACTCATCTGAACAATATGTCAGGATATATTTTTTGCAGCTCAATACTTACTGTCAAAATAAACAAAAAAATTAAGCAAACAAACAATAGTTGGAAGAATTAACATTTGACTCTACAGTATACCAGTAGATGTGTCCCAAGCTAATTCATGTATTCTGCAAGCTAAGTTAGACAATATAGTGGTGTCCAACGTTCTGGTGAATTGGTGTATATAAATTGCTCACTGCATGGAGTAACTGTAAGTGCATGGGTGTGCACTTTAAAAGCCATGAGATGAAGATGTTGCTTTGAATGTTTTGCCCAATCCTACAGTGTTGCTGTCCTCCAGTTATCAGGGACTTTACCACTTTTCCAGGGGTTCTCAAGGACAATGCATAAAGGTTTGGATAGACCATCAGCAAGTCCCTTTGGTAGTCCAGGATGCAGTTCATTTGTCCTGAAAATTTCAACTAATATGAAGTAAATAGATACCTCCTAGCCATGTTTCTGTCAAGCTTCAGTCCTGCTCATAAAATATTTGGCATCCATTTAATTTTTCAGATGTACTACATGAAAAATATAGGTGATCATTCCAATTTGGCTAATGTCTCTTCCTCCTTCCCCACTCATCCCTGTAATCTCTAGCAAATTTTTGAGAAGATGACAAGGTTTCTTTGCCAATATGAATATTTGGTTATAAATAGGAAGTTGGTGGTTTGTGACTAGCACTGACATGAGCCATGCTAATATACATCTTTGGAAATGCCTACAGATTTTATCAGAGTTTAAATGTCCTAGAATGCATACAGTTTTGAGTAAAGAGCAAATTCCAATTTCATATATTGTAAGTGGGACTAAATTAATATGGCACCCAAAAAAGAATTATTTACGTTCACAGAATTATAAAATTGAAAGATGCCATTTAAACTATCAAATCCAAACCCCAGCATCCCAGATGGTATCTCCTTAGCCTTCAGTTAAAAACATCCAAGAAAGGGAAGCCCACCTACCCCCACTAACTGATTCTACTATTACTAGAACAATATTTTTTCTATAAGGTTTGTTCTTGAAAAGTCCATGCTGACTCCTGGTTATTACTATTTTTTTCCAAGTTGCTTATGGATTCATTTCTTTATAGTCTGCTTTAGAATTTTCCTAGGTACAATCAAACTAATTTTTCTAATTTGCGAGGTCTTTTTCTTTCCTTTTTGGAAAATAATGGATAATATCCAGTCATCAGGCATTTCATCTCTTTTCCAGAATTTCTCAGAGATAATACATAAGGGAATTTCTCAGAGATAATACATAATACATTGGGCAAATGATAACTAGTTTTTTCAGCGACCCAGGATGAAATTAATTTGGTAATGGAAATTTAAATTCACTCAGAGTAAAGAGGTAATCCCTGACTAGATTTCTCCCAGTTTCAGGATTTAGTTCTGCCCAAAATTTCTTGGCAGTATTAACATGGTCTTTGTTGGGGGAGAACTGAACCAAAATAGTTGAATATATCTGTGTTTCGTTGTTACTAATATTTTATAATGTTTATTTGGCTGCTGGTATACTGATTTTTTTTCATTTGCCTTATATAAAGCCATATATAAAGGCTTTTCTTCCCTCTCAGCAGCCTTTCCTGAGCTTTCCTGAGCTCATTATGAATTCTACTTTCCTGACACACCTGTGCTGCTCTGGACTACCTGTCTGTACTCTTCCTTTGTGATCTATTCTTATATCCATTTCCTATACTGTATGTATTATGTCCTTTCTTCCTTTCTGCCCTTCAGTTGTTTGTATATCTAACCTTCAAAGAGAGGTGTATGTGTGTAAGTTTTTATCTATGAAGCTACATTGGCTTCTTTTGCTGTCACTTTTTCTTTCATTATAATTTTTTGTTTATTTTTTAACTTTAATATCTCTTTCATTTATGGACCTGTACTCTTCTTGAGCTTCTCTTCCTATTGGCTTCAGGCACCATAGGATCTTATTCCCCAACTCAGAGCAGTTTTGTTTGAATTTGCTCCTTTGAAGTCAAAGATCTGTATTTGCCCATGGTCACTTTTCTTAAAATCAAGAGTTCTGGCTTTATATGATAACATTCAATCAACCCTGAAGTCTGTCTCCTCCTCTACTATGACCTTGATGGGTAGATATAAGCAAATCGTGATGGAAAGCTTAGAATCTCATAACATTCTTGACAAACTATGACGTTACAGCATCTCAGACCTAGAAAGCTAGTCAGTTGGCATGTGAGGAATAACTAATATTTTTCATTATATATTAAGTATTATTAGTTGTCTTAAGTTGTAGGTTAAGAGTATGTGCTCACTGTTTAGTTTTTAGGAAACATTTGTTCCCTTGTGGTTAAGATGGATAACTTGGAAAAACTGAGCAAGTCAGGGAAGTATGAAGATGACTTTTCAGTATTATTACCAACTCTTCAGCTGTTTTAAGATTTCCTGGAGATAAACTGGCTGGCCTGGTTATCAACTGCAGGTGTGTTAACTAGTTTTTTGATGTCATCTAGCAAAAGTATTCTTTCACAGCCTCTTGGTTTTAATTATCCAATTTTCAAAACATATGTTATAATTCTAATAATTTGAAATTATTGTTTAAAATAATAGAAAATTCATTCTTTACTTAGAAGAAAAATCATGAAAGGTTCATCAGCTTGATGCTTCCTGTGATAAAAGCATGCATATGCTTTTGATACCACTTATTTTTTATGGAATTTTCTATATTGAGCCAGTAACTCTTTCTCAGCAGGAGTTGTTATTGTGGGGAAAAATAGGAGGAGAAAGGAATGTTATATCTGTTTGCCACCTTGAGTTATTTATAAAAATATTTAAACAGTTTTCCTACGTTTTCTACATTTTACTACTTCCAAACATGTTAGATATAATGAAATACTTATAGGTATTTTCTAGAACACTACAATTCCAGTTTAAGCATGAAAAACATATAGAAATAAAAATAACCCAAGTTGAATGGTCAGTCTTGAATGTATTGCAGGTGGTGCCACCTTGGAATGACTTTTGTGAGACTGGATCACTTTGTGCAGTTGCTATTGTCTTGAGCTTTTTGCTAATGGAACTGTAAATATCAAAGTTAAGCACTGCTTAATTGTAGATCTCTGTCAAAAAATAATTAAAAGTGCTGTTCTCAGATAGTCAGGTTTCCTTTTTATAAAGAGTAATACCCTTTTTAGGAAGGAATTCACACCACAGGCAAAATAAATTATAGAAAGTGGTATGTCCTGTATTTGCCTGCTTTAATTTTTACTAGATTTTAAAAAAATATTTTAGCCTGCTTATTTAACATTTTAAGTTTTGATTTAAAATGGCGTAAACCATCTTGAACGATATGCATTATTTGTTTACTTGCATATTGCTGTAATTCTGAAGAATTTCCAATGGTTAACCCCCAAAATAAAACATCCCTGATTAAAAACAAATATAAAAACAGCAAAACAAAACATCTATGGTAAATAATACAAAACAGCATAATAACAGTACAGCACCTAGAATAATAGCCACGGACAGGTTCACTTTGTTATTCTCTAATACTGGTGAACCACAAGCAGTTTTTCCTGAGAGATTTGTACTTGGTGACTTAATTCTGGTTAGAAAAAGTAGTTAGAAAAAGAAACTGCGTGGGAAACTGGCACATATGCAGTACTTTAAAATGCACTTTAAACATATTAGAAACCTGTCCATTTTATTAGCTGATTATTGACAAAAATATCCTGCTGCATTTTATTATCAGATGCAGTTTCTCAGTGGTCTTCAAAGATATGAATACAATATGTATATTTAATACATTGCAAGAATGTTGAGAGTGATAAGGATATGAGTTACTCTTGCATTAGACTAGACATACCCATTTCCTGCAACTCTTTATCATGTTTTAGTTCCATCCCGCTAGTCTGTTTTGTTGCTCTTCTCTGCACTCTTTCTAGAATCTTGCATCATTTTTTTTATCAAGCTGACCAAACTGACACAGTATTCCAAGTATGATATTATCAAAGCAGTATTCAATTTTGGCCTGTTTTGTCCCATCCAAACCCCAATAGTGTTCAGATATATAGTCAAGATTTCCCATTGTCTCCAACTTACCCAATTAAATGTCACCTTTCTCCAAACTACAAGGTGATATCTTCCAATAGTTCCATGTTCAAGAGAAAGATGGAAAAGATCAAACCCTATTAAGCCAACCTCCACTTCTCCTCCCTATCTCCTGACTGGAATTACCTGGTAATGAAGGACCAGTGCTAATATAAAACAGTGGCTGCAGCCCTCATAATGTCTCCAGATGGAATGCTTGCTGTTGAGAAGTCTAACAGGATAGGAAGGATATATTACCTCCTCCCCATTCTGACATAGCTCACTGACCCGAGTAACCAGTACTATTTTGATTCTATGTCTGGACCTGATCCCAGGCTGAAAAGACTCCCAAAAATCTGCTTTCTTGATGGTGCTGCAATTGACCCTCACCATCTTTTCAACAGCCTTCTCCAAAAATAGAAATTGAAGACTGCATGATAGTTATTCGATGTAGCTGGATCCAGAAAATGCCTCTTGAAGAGAAGGTATATTACAGTTGCCTTCAAATTGGGGAGGAGATGCCCTCCACTACATGGCATTGATTATTTTCCTGATCCAAGAAGTCACACCTCTTCTGCCTCAAAGAAGGGGCCTGGATAGAGAGTACCTTGCCTACCTTATTGGAATCTTCAAGCTGCAAGAAGCCCCAGATAATTAAAGACACTGCCTTAGTCATTACTTTAAATCCCACCTATGAAGAGTCAAGGCTTGGGAAAATCTGAGTGATTTTACTGGTAAGCTGTTATGCAAAAAGTTCTTTGTAGTTCTCCTATTCCTCCCAAAAAGTGAGTTGACCACTTTGAACAGTGCTTCTAGCCATAGGGAGGAAGGGAGATAGAAGGATAGAAGTTACTACACAAGGTCAGTTTATTTATTCATTTATATATTTAAAATATTTACGTGGCAACATGTAGGCAGCTGGTAACAATAATAAAACTGCAGATTATAAAACCATAAAACTAAAAAATAAATTTAAATAATCCGAAATCCTGGTCGCAGTTAGTAGAGGATCCTGTGGAGTTGTTAATAGGTATCCGAGGATACTGAGATAACGTCACGACCCATTTCTGTCTAGAACTACCGGAAGTTCTTTCGCTAACCGGTCTAGTGACCCCTGTCTTACAGGGTGTCTCATCCCCGTCTGAACCCTAAATAGTCTGAACCCTCAGAAAACTAAAGTCTTCAACTTTTGAAGGCATGGAATTTGTGTGCAAAGCACACATTTTGCCAGTGACTAACGATACCTATCTCTAAGTCATAGAGGGCTATTGCTCAAGTTTTCTTTTAGCTACTGACAGAATAATCTAAAGCTGTACACACCTAGGTTCCTTTAGAGTGCTAAATATGCACAGAATTCTACCATATCAGTGCTTAGGGTCAGTGTATATATAATAGGTACAATCATATGAATCATCAGTAACTGTTATTTTAGGTGGGAACAACTGGATCCTCATGCATCAGTGAAAAGGTTTAAGTCATAGCCTTTGTTTCTACTGTGTAGGTGCCCCTGATCCTACAGCAGGAGCGAGTATAGATGATGAAAACTGCTGGCATTTGGATGAAGAGCAAGTTCAGGAACAAGTTAAACTTTTTCTTTCCCAAGGTGGATACCATGGATCAGGGAAACAGCTCAATTTGCTTTTTGCAAAGGTATGTAAGAAGGGATGTTTTTTTTTCATTTTGACAGAATGCTTTTTTATTCGTCATTTTTATGTTGACTTCACAATATTTAGTCTCTTAGTAATGTTCCTGCTCCATTTCTTGGGCTGATACCATCTGGATTTCTTGGGCTACACTTTTCAGAATTCTCGGCCATTTGGAAGATTTTAAGGTACAGAAGAAGGACTACTTTATTTTAGTAGTAAACTGTTTCTTTGGAAAAAATATAGCTCAACCTGACCAAAACCCAACCAAACAAATCTCTTGACTTTTTAAATGTCATTGCTTTGATATTGATAATAGTATGCCCTCGCCCCCAATATAAAATACAAAGAAAACTGACTGGCATCTTTTTATAACTTAAGGTCATGTGATAAATCTTACAATTGTTTAAAAATTTGGGAAATCTGTACTGCCATGGGAAGATGATTATTTAATGTAAGGAATGACAGAGCACGAAGCAAAACCAGGACATTGCTTTGCAAACACTTCTGTTGCTTTTTGGGCAGTGGCATGGAATCTGAGGTAAATTGACACCATTTGGTTGATCTGTTTTGCATGCCTTATTATCAGAATTATACACAAACTACATAGAGCAGGGGTGTCAAACTTGCAATGTCACGTGACGTGTCGCGACATATCACGACTTTTTTCCATTGCCAGCAATGGGGTGGGCGCAGTTTCGGCATAACGCATCCAGCCCGTGGGCTGGCAGTTTAACACCCCTGGCATAGAGAGTTAGAAGGATAGAACAAACTGAAACTTGTGGTAGAAGATTATAATGTTTGTAGTCAAGGGTTATACTGGTATAATGTTATGGTTCAAAATGGAATATTGAAATGTATGATAAATTTCAATTTCGGTTAAGTGACGTTTCAACTTTTTATAGTCTTATTACTGAATAAGACAAACCACAAAGGTTTAGTCACACACAGAACCTTCATTTTGTCCGGTGGAAATCGTAGTTTGTTTGTATGTACTTAGTTAGTTGGACGATTCTAAAGATTATTAACATAACTATTCTAGTATTGACACGAAATATTAACAAGTACTATACCAATCAATGGAACAACTCTAGGTTTTGTGCCTCTTTGACTTTTTATAATGCTGATGGTTCTTCTACCTTGCGTTTCTCCTTAAATTTGTCCTTTTATACTGAATGATCAGTAAACGTTTTGCTGTCTATAGCAATTTGGGTGGGAAAAAAGTAAATGTTTTAAGCATTTTTATTCAGAGTGTGTGTGAATTTTATTTCCAAAGTGTTCATAAGAACCTTGAACTATAGAATAGACTCCTCTCATGCTGAAGGAGTGCAAAGTGTACCATTGTGTTCTGTAAAGAATTATTTTTGCAACATAGTACATTTGAGCTACCATGAAAAGCTTTATTTTTCTCCAAAACTGTGGGATTTTCAAGTTAGTTTATTACTCTTTTGTATTTATACTGAACCATGTAGGGATTTGCAAATATATAATAGCCATGCAACCTTATTGACAAGAGAAAAAAATGGCATGCAAGAGCTGTTTTTTTTGTTCCCTTTATTACAGATGTTTATAAGTGTAGCTTCTTTTTAGAATTAAATACTTTCAACTCCTCCTGTCCAGTGAATTAACTTTGTGTTTGGTGATGTGGTGCACACAGTGTATATTCATTTATCCCACTCCTGCCTTTGTCTACTATCATGTTAATATTTAATTCTCTTCCTCCTTCTTCTCCTTCTCCTTAAATGCCAAGAACAACAGCTCTAAGCTAGAGGAACATCAGTTTGAAAGTATTTATTTTCTTTTTAATGTTTTTATTAAAGTTTTAAATATTTTTAAATTTAAATTAATAATTTCTCCCTTTCCTACATTTCTGATACGAGATGAGACAAGACGAGATGAGATCATAGATCAGTATTGCGCTACTTCATAATAAAAAATTCTGTCTCTTCATTTTATAAATACTTTTTAAAACTGTGTACTTACAATACTTACTATTGGTATGAATTGGCAATATTGATTGTTCAGTAGTAATCCTGTGTTTCCACTGACCTCTCCCTTGCTTCCAGCAATATATTATTTCATTTGTTTTTTTAAAAATTGTAGTAAACTACATATTTTATATTGTAGGTGCGAGAGATGTTAAAGATGAGAGATTCAAATGGTGCTCGTATGCTGACACTGATAACAGAACAGTTCATGGCTGACCCACGGCTGTCACTTTGGAGACAACAAGGAACTGCAATGACAGACAAATATAGGCAGCTGTGGGATGAACTAGGTAAATCCAAATAATTTTGCAGAAGCTTTTAACAGATCTGAAGTGGAGGAAATATTAAGTGTTTTGAGTATCCTTGGTTCTTGTCAATAGAATTTGTATTTGTTGCCAGATTTTGGGAATATGGCAACCTGGAAACTTGTTTTCAGAGGCAAAATTAGTGCATTTTTGCTAAAGCCAAGGATGTACTGCCAAAAATAACTGCTCCATGAAATGTTTAATAGTAGAAGCTGGAATATAAACATTTCCTATGTAATAAGTAACCCATTGTATTAACAAGGGCTAGATCTGCAGTTATTAATAGTAAATGTTTACCTTCATAATTATGCACCTCTTTGATTCCAAAATGTCTTTGAAAGGGCATACTCCTTCACTAATCAGTTTTCAGTCAGTGTGGAAAATTGTATAATGTTAGTTCAAAACTTTTCACACGTATTTTTTTAAGCAGATGGGTGGTCTGTGTATACCTCAGTGTAACACATGTCTTTTTGGTGCTATACTTGAGTTTCTGCTCTGTAAAGATGGGAGGGGGAACCCTGATAATTGCCCAAACTAGGGTCATTTATCAAATTCGTTGCAAGCTCACTATCCTAACCAAATGCTTTAACGTCCTTTGTTTATATGAGTGACTGAATGTGCATTTGGAACTTTTTGTATGAAGAATGAGGTATGTACTTGTTGATTTGAGCTGGTAGTAGCAGCTGAACTTTGTGTTAAAATTTGCTCTGGGTCAAATATAGTTTTCTGTTTGAAAATTAGAAGAAGACAAACTGAGAACAAGCTGTGTTTCATGCCTTTAAGTATGGTCTTATGAGTATCTCAATCAACTTTTAATTGAAACCAAAACTAAAACAAACACCATAGTTATAATTCATACTTAGTGTTATTTTGGTGTGTTGTGTATTTTGGAATAGGAGTACTATATTTCTATATGGCTCCAAATGAAATGAATATAACACTGAAAGTTTCAAAGGAACAAATTACAAGCTGCAGCTAGTTCAGTTTATCTTTCGTATAGACAAGCAAGTCAGTAAGGGAATCTTTGCAACAAATTCCATCAGCATTTCCCTGGATGTACTATATTTAATAATGACCTTGTGTGTACAGTATTGCCAAGATCTGTTTCCTGGGGCTGGGGGCATATTTCGGCTCAGTATGTGTCAGTTTGACATTCTTAGAGGAATTGCTTAAGAATGGCTAGTTCAGGGAAACAATTACTTTGCGACATGTAAGTTCCATGTCCTTCAAATATTCCTAATAATCCATGCTGAGTGAGTAAACCTAAACATGGATTGTTGGATCAGAAGGGGACAAGTGTCTTTCTGACTGAATTTAACAAGGATCTGATATATCATTGAGAACTCCTAAGTTAATGCTTTCAATGTTTACAAATACTGCTAGATTTCACAGCAGCCTCAACTCCCTGTCTTAATTAAACACTATATTATAGTAGTATTATCTCTTCGGTGTTAGTAACTAATTTTCAGGTGTTGACATCTGATCAAATAGAGCTGCTTGGAGCTGTTAATCCTTCTCTTTGCCCACTTACCCCATATTCAGCTTCCAATGTGTAACTGGGCAGAAGACGCCATTAGATTTTTTTATTGGTTAATATTAGCAAGTAGCTATTTCTCTGTGGTAGAATCTATTCTGGGAAGTTACAAGTAGGAGCAGGTAAATTACAGATCTTTCACTTCTGATTTAAAACTGAACAGGTGATATATTGATTCCAAGAATTTCTGATTCTTTTTGATTTTTTTGGTCAGCTTTTTACCTGATTTCAGGCCAGGGCTAAAAATGAAATTACTGATATTGGGAGAAAAATAGAATTTGTTTCTCTGTTGGCTTCTCCAGGCTCCTTGCTGTACCATTAGAATGTATATGTAAATATGAACACCATTTCCAGTGTTGCTTCTCCACCCTTGCAGGGTAGTTTCAGGTTGTGTTGAAAAATTACTCTGCTCCAGGAGGTATGCCAATAGCTTTGATTTATTATCCAGTATAATTCTTATCTGCATGAAACCTCAGAGGAAACTTATGGGAAGGTTTCTATATTAGTGAATCTCTGAGATTGGGAAAAAAAACTGATTGAGAGTAAGTAGCTCACAGCTCAATCCACACAATAAATAGAATATGGAAGTTCAAGGCAAGAAAAACCAAATGCACAGGTATAGTATAGGGGGTACCTTGCTCAATAGTAGTAACTGTGAGAGGGACCTCGGAATCCTAGTGGACAATCACCTAAATATGAGCCAGCAGTGTGCTGCAGCTGCCAAAAAGGCTAACACAGCGCTAGGCTGCATTAACAGAGGGATAGAATCAAGATCACGTGAAGTGTTAATACCACTTTACAATGCCTTGGTAAGGCCACACTTGGAATACTGCATCCAGTTTTGGTCACCACGATATAAAAAAGATGTTGAGATTCTAGAAAGAGTACAGAAAAGAGCAACAAAGATGATTAGGGGACTGGAGGCTAAAGCATATAAGGAACGGTTCCAGGAATTGGGTATGTCTAGTTTAATGAAGAGAAGGACGAGGGGGGACATGATAGCAGTGTTCCAATATCTCAGGGGCTTCCACAAAGAAGAGGGAGTCAAGCTATTTTCCAAAGCGCCTGAAGGCAGGACAAGAAGCAACAGATGGAAACTAATCAAGGAGAGAAGCAACCTAGAACTAAGGAGAAACTTCATGACAGTTAGAACAATTAACCAGTGGAACAACCTGCCTCCAGAAGCGGTGAATGCTCCAACACTGGAAGTTTTTAAGAAGAGACTGGACAGCCATTTGTCTGAAATGGTATAGGGTTTCCTGCCTGAGCAGGGGGTCAGACTCGATGACCTCCAAGGTCCCTTCCAACTTCATCATCATCATCATCATCATCATTATTATTATTATTATTATTATTATTATTATTATTATTATTATTATTATTATTATTATTATTATTAATGCCCTGAATCTTCTATTCAATCCAGGACTTAAAATCCGCAAAATAATTGCTTTCTCATTACTTAATTTCTGTTTTCCGCTTTTCAAATAATTGCTTGTGTCAGATTCCATTCAAACACCTGAAAGAGAAGAGAGTGCCAAATAAAGTCACCAACATAGATTTGTTAATTTTGTATTGGCCTGATTTGAAAATATGTTGGGTTAGATTTTTTCCCATTGAGAAGTTGTTACAACATTCCTTAATCTTTGGAAGCATCAGTATAGATATTCTGCTCATGGTTATTCAATGTGATTGTGATGTATAGTTTTATGTTTCTGTAACATATTTTAGTTGTCTAATGGTAAGCAATGGAACTACTCAAGGTGAGATTTTGACTTTATTTACTCCTTTTTGACAGGGCAAGTCATGAGGCTTGCATTAAAAGTTAATCCTCTAGTCTCCACGTTAGCTCTTTTAGCTGTCTCCAATTCTTTGAACCTACCTATTTCAGAGTATCCCTAAGGAAGATTTGATATAACACCCTTTGGATGCCAGAATCTTCTTAATTTTCTTTTATAATCTTACTCCTCCAAAGTCAAAAATATTTGAAATTTATGTTTGTGCTTCATTACTTGAGCTTTGATGTTTGGGTTTGGGAATGATTTTCAATCTGTATTTGCAAGAAAAAGGAAAATCTTTTGTTTTAAAATCATTAACAAAAATCATAAACGTTTTTTTCCCCTCCTGCAAATGCAGAATGAAAGTCACTGGGCAATTTGAGCAAATATAAAAAGTGAAATAAAGCTCACTTTCATTTGCAGGTTTACACCTGTTTACAGGTTAGCCCTAAAGTCAACTAGCTACTAAGCTTTCTTAAGCAAGTTCTCAGGTGGCAGAAATTTCCCAAGATCAGACAGGTTTCACTGCCTTTCTTCCCTTGGGAAGAGGCCACCTTTTATAAAAGGATGTTAAAGAAGTATTCTGCTTCTAGGAACAATATGTTTGCAGAAAGGCTAAAGTAACAAGATGTTAATTGAAGTTCAGCCAATGTTTGCAAGATTCCCACAGTCATAAGGGCTATGAGAATACTTCTTTTGAAGGTAACATTCACTTAATATGTTAATAATGGGTAAAAGGAATTTCCAGCTTTTCCTTTATAAGACTAAAGAAGTTAGCTGGCAGGGTGGCCTGTAAAGATCAAGAGTTGCTATTTTGACAGGAGACATACATTTACATTTGAATCACCAAACAAGCCAGGGAGGGGGTATTAATTATTCCTAGAAGTGGCAGGACATGTTTATATAGCAAACATGTGATTTGGTCAGCTTGCCCTTATTAATAATCAGTTTAGTTTGTAGATGAGTTTGGGTCATGGAAGTGCTTTTCTGTCAAAACCCCAGACACAATATCTCAGTTTTTTGAATACTCTGTCAAAGGACATATGCATTGATAACTGAATTTGCTTTCATTTTTAGAGCAAGTAAAAGTTAAAGCTAAAATTTAATGTGAATTAAACTGAATTTAGATTCTAAATTCTTTTAAAAAATGGATTCTTTTTGATGCTATGTTATATTTGCTTTATGTGTGGCATGCATATATACTGGGGGATCTTTTGAAGAAGATGGTTCAATTTAGATTTTATATACATATTCCACTTTAAAGTTGTGAAGAATTTACTAGGCATCTGGAAGATAAAACATGTCCTATACATGGGACCAAGGTTATGATTTGCAAAGTACTCTGGAATGAACTTGAATACAGTATATTAGTTATGAGGAAGTAGGAAGAGTTTTTGTATTTTATCTATTGCTTGTAGACTGGATCTCTGCCCCTTGTGCTGATGAACACCTTCAGGGCAGTAACAGGAAGCTGGATTAGAGTGGAAGTTAATGCATCCTTTAGGCAAGGATTGTTACTACCAGTTTAAAGAAGGCAGTGTTGTGTCTCTTCTTCAAGTAGCCATCACCTGATTAGATGTTTTGGACAACTACCAGCCTGACTCCAAGGTGGTGGAAAAGGTGATATCTCTCCAGTTATAGAAGATCCTAGATGAACAGATTATATGGATACT